ATAATAATAATAATTATAAAAAATGTACAAGTCTACACAAATGACCAATCGTGTGACACTGCCTTTAGTCTTTAAGCGAACCGAGCGAAACACATGTGTGTGAATATTGAAAACAAAAAACATTTAAAATCATAAATCGACCATCCTAACAGGTTTTTTTTTTAAGTTAAGTAGAATTACTGAGCATCTATAGAAAAATGCCAAGAAAATGCTACATTAAATTTCCACCTTAAACGCCCACCAGCAAACAACGAGTAATTTAAAGTGACGCCACAGAAATGAAAATCGCTGTCTTACGATTTCAATGCCAAATTTGTGACTGCGCCGTCGAGTTGCATTTAAAAGCGAGAGCCACACAAATAACTGCATACGCACACAAACGTGAGTATAACAACACAAACATACATATTTTTGGCCTCATATATGTATGTACGTATGAAGAGCAGCAAAGGAGAAAAGCAGAGGGAAATGCAGCGAAAAGAAGCGAACAAAAAAACAAATTAATCATAACAAAGCGCCGTTGTCGACGCCGTTTTCTGTTTTCGTGCTGGCAGCAATTAAAAAGAAATTACGCAGCCAAAAAAGTTTTCGCTTTTTCTGTGACAGCAGCAAGCACCTACTTATGTACATACATACCTATCTTGGCGCGGCATTCGGTGTGCTCTACAAACATGCATATGCACATACTTTGATAACGTAAACACATAGTCTTACAATTCCACATAAATTTACATGTGTATGTATGTATGCAAATGCCCACCCACGCGCCAGCAGGCAAGCCATTCACCTACCGAATGTTTGCCTGCCTGCATTCGACAATTGTAAAGCCCGTCGAGCAACGTTTTGGACATAATTTTGTGGCTGCCATTTTTACCTACTCTTCGTTTTTTTTCAAATTTCAGCTCCTCGCGCACAGTTTGCAACTCGCAGCTTGCAATTAATTCCCAGTGCTCAATTCTCAATTCCCATTTCACTTTTATATTTGTCTCCGCAAATTTTCTCTTGTTTTCTTTAAAACAATTTTTAAATTTTCTTGCATTTTCCCTAGGAGTTTGTACCTAGGAGTGCTAAAAAAACAAATGGAATTTATGTGTTGGCCAAGTTCTGCTGACACACGGCTCGGCTGAGCGACAGCGCGGCTGCCAAAAGCAGAGCTCTGAGCGGAAACGTGCGTGTGGTGTGTGTTCCAAATGCCAGTGAGTTTATATTTCCATAAGCAAACACATCACATGTATGTGAACGTGTGAACGTGTGTTCTCATTTCGCTGGCGAGGACGCCTAAAAGTATGCCACACTTTGTGGTTTACGCTCGCCAAAGAAGTTGATGCGTGTGTGCCCATTGAGGCGAATGCGTGGATATGAGCATAGCAACGATTATGAGTTTAAGGGAACCCAGTAGGCATTTTTTTGATTCGAGGAGAGAAAAAATTAATATAGAATTTTTAACTTTAGGACAATGAGAAAGTCGCTTAGCAATATTGTCAGCAAATGGTGCGAAACTACCTTCAGCACGCTTCTCAAGAATTGGGTAGGCTAGTTCACAGCCTACTTCCTTCTTTCCGTTCTCTGTATTCTTTCTTGCCAGCGGGCTTAGGCATCCAAAATTACCCAAGTAAGCTTCGCAAGTCAGATGAGAATAATGGGCCTCATGCATAAAAAGTGAGCTTAAGCTCCGACTCGTTTTTCAATACAAATTCTTGGGCTTGAGCTCACCCTTTCAGTGCAAAAATTGAGTCTGAGCTTAAGCTCACTTTTTATGCATAAGGCCCAATATGTGTAACTAAGCTAAAAGGTCAATGCTAACCGAGATTGGCTTTCGCATGGTGCTTTAAGCATCGCCCACACTCCACTCCCGGAGTAACTTTTGAAAGAAGCTCTGCTAAGTTGCCGTGGAAGTTTTGCAGCAAAGCTTTTAGCAATTGGTGGGTATTTTTGGTGCGATCATCCTGGCCTAAACCAGCAGGCGACATCTCACTGGCGAAGCCATGTATTAGACCCCAAAACCAGTAGAAGTCGGCGACAGGAAGACTCTTTGATTTTTGTGTGCGAGCGGCGTAGCACCGTAAGTTATGCAAGTACAGCGCAGTTACTTGTTACCACCGGCATGAGTGATTGCAAGGCCGATTCAACAAAGAAATGATATCGGCACGAAACTTGGTAATCCCCCCATCTAGTGCGTATGACATTTTCGTTTAAATTCACAGAACCGCCGAGCGCATATCGGCCAGATGACGTACATGAAGATAACTTACTGGTAAAAAAAGGAACAAAATTACAAAATCTATTCACACAACTTATATAGAATGCGGAGTGTATAATGGATTGGTAGGTAAACAACACAAATCTGGCTTGGTTCCATAGGCGCCTTAGACGAACGGACGGAAATGATAATTTATAGCGTGTGTTATCCAGCACTGCTGCTCGCGATGGTGAAGTCTATGATTTGGTAAGGATGGCGTAGTAAGACGCGGATACTAGTCGACGGACGGACAACTTTAAATGATGCAAATTTAGGAACTGATCTCCCAAGGCCATGATCAACAACGGATGGGAGGGGCGGACAGGCCGGGCTCGTTTCCATGGAAGCAAACGGCGAGACTGGAGGGAACAGGGTAGACAGTGGTAATATGAATGGACAGAGACTTCTAATTAGGTTCACATAAAAATATTTGCACTTCTCAACCGACGTATAATAGTTTTCTAAAATTTAAAGTTAGTTGCATGTTCGGATGATATGCCACTTGGTGTGAAGGGTACTTGAAATTATTGACCAAGTAGTTGAAGAACAGTATACTTGGGGTAAATTTAAGCAAGCTGAAAATTGTGCTATACATTACAAAATATGCGATATCTCACGCGACTCTTCCTCCATTTGACATGTTTGCTTTGCACTGCCTGAAGAAATTTTAGACTTGATCTTTCCTGTATTAAGTATTGTGGGAAAATGTATGCAAAAGGAACCAATTCCATATTGCTCTTGCGAGGGAGCCACTGGTCAGTGCAGGGACTTCTATTCTATATTTTTTTTAAATTTTTAGATTTTAGTTTACGTTGGTGGCAAGAAGCGTTTGTCTGAGAAGATCTTTAGTAAAAATTTCCGAAAACTAATTTTCTAGAATATTTATATCAATCCTATAACTTCCAAATTTGATTTTTGGCGGGTTTTTTGAAGTAAACGTCAAAACGACCCTTTCAGGCGGGAGCTAATGGGTTAAAATGTTTCACGAAATATTTCCCATGAAATTTTGCAATATATGTCTTAAAATTTAATTTCGCTCAGACATTTATTTAAGTAATTTCTTCCACTTTTTTGAAAACTAGTAGGCCATAAAATAAAAATACGAGCCCACTTTTGCAAATCGAGTGTTTTATTACTTTGTATACTTTTAGAAAATATTAGCAAATTCCGTGCTGCATTGAATTGTCATAAAATTGTCGCACAGTGTTATTTATTAACTTTTCAGTATTTTTGGGAACTTGAGATCGTTCGGGAAATCTCGGTATTTTTTCCGAACGTTTCGAGATTTTTCCAAACAATTTCTCGACCTTTAGGATCTTTGCCAAGTTTTCCAAACACTTTTTTTCTGAGTTTTTGAAAATTTCGGGATTTCTTCCGAAGATTTTAAAAAGTTTCAAAACATTTTCTGCACCTAGGGATCTTTGCGAGGTTCTTGGAGCAGTTTTCGCGATTCCTTTCCGCAACTTTCGAGATTTATTTGAGCCTTTAGGTTAATTTTAAAATTTTTAGATATTTTTCGGAGACTTTTGTATATCGATGGCTGAGGGGAAGATCGACCTTTTCAAGAACGTCCTATTTCAGAATTTAATTGAAAAACACCCTATCTCATTTCCAAATGTATTGAAAATATGCTGATATAGGGCGTTTTTGAATCGGCAGCTGAGATATGGCGTTTTTGAAACGAATTCTGAAATAGGGCGTTCTTGAAAAGTTTTTTGAGATAGTGCGTTTTCGAACTGGCTGCCGAGATAGGTCGATCTTCCACTCAGCCATCGATATGTTTTCGAGACTGTTCAGATTTTTTTGTAGTTTTTTTCAGGTATTTTCGAAACACTTGGGAATTTTTCGGGACTTTTAAAAAATATTTCAAATTTGTTAACAAGTTTTCGAAATTTTTCCGGGACATGTTGAGAAGTTACTGAAAGCTTAGGGACCTCTTCGAGATTTTTCAGTAAATTAAAATATTTTAGCTCGTTAAAGTTCTTTGCTTTTTATTATAAAATGGTCGTGTCTGAAATTTTCCAGCTGAGGGTTTTTTTAATTATACTCGTACAATGTTTTCTTACTTCTTGGTACATACGAGTAACTAAAAAACCCTACATAAATTTTTCTGGTACTTAAAAGTACTCCCCTTATGCGTCTGTCTACTGCTAAGATAGTTTACTTTTTTATTTTTTTAGCCTTCAAGAAAATCACAAATCCCGAGAAAACGGTTCACTGCTTTTCACCAGTCGTAACAGTTAACACGTTTATGTTTAAGCGTCAGTGCGTGTATTTATTTATAATGACCTTGGGCGCAAAAAAGGAGGAAAGCAAGAAACCAGCAGCAAAGTACGAGTCAGAACAGAATTCAAAACCAAATCAGCGAAGAAACGAAAAAATACTGTTACAATTTTGTGGAAAAACCAAATGTAGGGCAAACGTACTTTTACAGACAGCCACGAAATGGAAAGCAAACGAAATGTTTGAGTGCTTTGCGCACTGAGCTGGCAGCAGCGAATAGCAGAAAACTATGTTGCATAAAATCAAAAAGCAGAAAAAGTGAAAACTACAAACTAACGCAATTCGACTGACAGGCCGCCAGCGTTTTCAGCGGGCACATAGTCTATTAGACACGCATAACAAGTGAAAGAAGCGGTGGCAGAGGCGGAGCGGAGCGGAGGGTCCAAGGGACGTATAAGTCGCATGATATATGGCTTTCTTGTAAACAACGTACAACTGTATATATACATATAAAAGAAATAAAAAAATACATATTTACCTTAGTACACAGCAGAGAAAGTGCGAAAGTCAGCTTATTCTTCTCCACGCATCTAGCACAAGTACCTCGTAAGCGTGTGTGTGTGCGTATTTTTGCGTGCTTGTGTCTTTAGTTTGATATTCACTTCACACTTTACACTGTTCACATGCAATACATCTCAAATTTCTTGCGTTTTTGCTTGCTTCGGCAGACACTTTGAGAATTCACGCTGTCAATTTTTGTAGTGAACTTTATCGGGCTACGTGCGAGGTAAACAAAAAAATAACGGTTGTTGTGTTTAATGCTGAAAACGAAAGGAAAAAGAAGCCAGGAAATAACAGATTAAAAATGGCTAAGAAAAAAATAAAAAACAAAACAAGAAAAATATGAAAACAGCAAAACAGAAAAATTTATGAGGCTGCAATGTACAATACAACTCAAAGGAAGAAGAAATAATAAAGTATGATTGAAAAAACAAAGGAATTGCCAACGCGTACAAATTGAATTTGACAAGTCTGACATTTCGTTCGTCGATGCAGGGCTGGCATATCATCAATTAGAGTCATTTATATTGTTTTTTCCTCTCGCTCTCGCAAGCAGCTTTCGAGCGCTAAAAATACTCGTAGATAAGATGTGTGACAAGCGGAAGATTTTTTTTTGTTTTTTTTTTTATCTATACAGCAGGTTATGTACTGGCTTAACTGATTAATGTTTAGTACATGGGAACGATGAGAACAGAAATCTAGTCGTATTTCTTGACAAATACCGATGAGTCGTTTTCTTTATTTACTGTAGATATATAGACTGCCGGCAAATAGTATTGGCATAGCTGCTTTTTTGCAATATATGCAATAATTTTTATTGTAACATTTTTCCGATTTTTTTTTATAGAAATATGGTTCATTCCACAACAAAAAACATAAAAATATAATTTTTAAACTTCAGAAAATTTTCAACTTTTTAGTCAGATTTTTTCGATTTTTTTTGTGAGTATGCAGTTTTGTAGCCCATTAAATTCTAGCATAAAAAGTGTAAGTTTGGAGGTAATCCAAAATCGCATTGATTTTTGAGAATTTTTTGTTAAAGGTGTTTTGCATTTTTTCCATATAAAGTATTTTTGAAATTATTTTTTGTATGGAAGAGATTGCGTAAAAAAATATTGCCAAAAATCAACGGTAATTTGTAGCTTCTTAGAACTTCTACAATTCTAAAAATTCTGATTAAAAAGTTGAAAATTTGCTGAATTTTCGCGAGTTTTGCACAAAGTTTAGAAATTATATTTTTATGTTTTTTGTTGTGGAATGAACCATATTTCCATAAAAAAGTGTCAGAAAATATTACAATAAAGTTTTGACATATATATGGTAAAAAAGCAGCTGTGCGATATCAATTTGAAAATATCGATTACAACCTAATACACAATGAAACTCAGCATTTGTTTTGTCGACATTACATTGGCTGAAACTTGGTTTTATAAGACATCAGCCAGCGTGAGGTCTAGATTTTCCTTTCTTCATGTCGAAATCGCTTTTTCTCAGACTTTCAAGAAATCAATTTGCTTCGTGAAATTTAATTCAAAACTTTTGAGTAATTTACCATTATTTCTCACTACTTGTGTTTTCTTAAAACAAAAAAAAAAAAAACATTTCACTTACCTCGAAAATCTTGATTGCTTCGAAGCGCCACGGCCACATGAATGTAAAACAGCACAGCTTGATTTTTATTCATTTGAAAACTTTTAGTTTTATTTAAGATTTCAGTTATTTACCTTGCGTATCATTATTTGCCTATTTTACTTAATTTACTTTTCTCATTTATTTTATTTTAATATTATTTAATTTTTTCTTCTATTTACTACGCTCATATCTTCATGCCCACTTAATTAGTTAACTTAAAATGCTTTGAATTGCACTTCATCGGCAATATTTTCTTTGTTTTGTTTAACTTATTTTCGCTATTAGATATTCTTATTCGCTTAACTAGGCAAACAGTTTGTGTACTGTACAGTTTTACGACTAATACATATACATAAGTAAGTATTACTAACCATAAATTTAAGTTTTATTTTAATTAAGCTATACTACATAAATACATACTTAGCACTGAAATGATTCCTAAACAATTAATTTAGCCTAAAACCTAAAAAATAGTTCTAGTAATCCCCTTTGCGGGGTTTGAATGTCTATTTGGCATATGTTTCGTAAATAAATTCTGTGTTTTTCTTTTATAAAACATCGTTGCTAGATTACTTACTCATGTATGTTTGTATGCTGAGTTAGACATATAGCGCTAAAAAGTAGTGATCTTATTTTAAATTTTTTTATTTTTTTATTTTTTACATTTGCATATTATTGAACTATTTTTTTTTCTTCGTAATTATAAGTAACTAGCAATACTCTAATCTTGGAGTTGTGACTTGATGTACATTAAAAATTTTACTATAAATTAAATTTTTATATTTAATAATTGTGTTTTTAATTATTTAACTTGCATATAAGAAATACTTTTCTTTGCGGATGCGTTTCTTTGTTACAATTATATTATAGCATTTAACTCGATAACAAATATTTAGACAAATTTTAATCAATTGAAAACTAAAATTTATCATACAAAAAAAAAAGGTTTTTACTTTTTAATTATTGAATGCGCACTTTCATTTGACTTACTACCTTAACTTAATGTCTAACCAAGCGTTGTAAGCATAAAAGCAAATTTTAAATAGAGGCAAAAAATAATTCAATAATAAAACTTACAAATAAAAAATGATAAGTGGAACTACTGAAAATGGAAATAGAGGTGTAAATAAAATAAAAAATATAAAGACTTCGTAAACAAAACATAATCCAAAATAAAAAAAGATCAGCCAAACATTAAAAAAAGTATATTTTTTAAGACAAAAGATATGAGCGTTGTAAATAAAAGATCCGAAATATAAAATAAAAATTATAGTTGAAAATAATTTTGATTAAAAAATTGTTTAGTAAGGTTAGGGAGTTTATTGAAATTCAAAATAAAAAACAGATATTTAAAAAATATTTTTTTAAATATCTTTAAATTATTAAAAAAAAAATTCAAAAATATCAGCACGTTTTAGTTGTTGATTCGAAAAAAAGTTTTCAAGGTAGCGACCGCAGCAAAAATGTTAAGCAATTGCAATTTTCGAGCTGAGTAAATTGATTTTTTAAACTTTGTAAACTATTAAGTTGACAAATAAATGTGTTTACAATAAGCACAAACCAGTCAAATGTCTCGAGTTTAATTGACTGTGAATATTTTTATAATTAGAAAAAAATCATAAAATGTGCAATTATTTATGCAAACACAAACATTGAATAAATATGTAGTAACCAACTGGAAAAATGTCAAATGCAGAAACATTAAATATGTATGGAGTAACCAGCTGGAAAAAAATGTAACACAAGATTCACATACTTCAAAATGAACAAAAAAAATTTTAAACATTTTAAAAAAATTAATAAATAAAAAAATAAAAAATTTAAAAATAGAATGAAAAACATAAAAAACTATCCCCACGCTATTTACATTGATTTTGTTTAATTGTTTTAAATTTAAATATTTACTTACTTCAAAGAAATTTGTAGTAAGGGTAAAAACCCACTAGAAAATATAAAAATTTATAACAATTGAAAACAAAACCAATAAAAAACTAGCTTCCAGCTAAAACAAATTTTTTGGCAATTTCTTTTATAATTTTCATAAATTCATAAAACATTAAAGTGATCAAAAAATGACGAGGCAAGATAAAAATTAATAAACAAATTATCAAAAAATATTTATGTAATTGGAAAAATTTTGAGTTAACAATTAACTCTTAGCAAAAAAGACAACCGACTCATATAACAATTTAGTATTGTCGTTAATTTATTCATGATAAAATGAGCGGATCTTAACCAAATTAGTACGGAACCACCATTGACGTACCACCTTGCCGATAAAATTACCGAAATCGGTTCACATGGTCTAAAGTTAAGCAGTAGCATACATAATAAAAAACAAAAATATTCCGACGAATTGAAAACCTTTTCCTTTTTTTGAAGTCGGTAAAAAAATTAAGTCAAAAAAGCTGGCCTCCGAATGGAAAGATTTTTTAGTGATTTTTTTTAGTTCTAAAGAAAAGTATCAAATTTATTACAGAAATGGCTCAAACAAATTTTTAAATTGAACTCAAATATGTACATGTAACCGAAAATTAAAAATGTTGAAAACTAGTATTCAAAAGCTTTAAAATTTAATTTTTGCACAAGTTTTTTTTAGTATTTAATAATAAGTTTTTGCAAAAAGTTTTCTTTTTGAAATCTGAAAAAGAAGCCGGAAAATTTGTAAAAACGAAGCTTAAAAAATGTATTTAAAAAATTTTTTGAACACGGTTTTTTATAATACAAAGTTTTTTGGCACAAAAAAGCAACAAACTAAACTTTTCCAAACCTGAAACTTCACTTTTATAAATATTGATTAACAAGGTGATTATTTTCAAATATTACTTTTTATTTATTTTTTATGATTGATCGATTATTTAAAAAAAAAGTAGGATTACATTACGTGCTTAATTTTGTTGTTACTTTTATTAAGATTTTTTGTTATAAAAAAAAATTTTAAATTTGATTTGTTGAATGTATATTATTTCAGTGATTTTATTACTATTCATTTCATTTAACCTTGCCTTAGGTGCATTTTTTGCACACTTAAAATTATTCACACTTTTTTATAACAACACTTTTTACACATGCATTTGCTAAATATTTACCGCAATTGTTTTTACAAACATTTGCCTAATTCGCACACATTAAATTAAATTCGCTTTTTTTTGTTTTGTTTTGTTTTGCCTTAGACTCATAGCCATTAATGTCATTTAATTTGATAATTTTATTTGTTATTCGATTTACTTCGCGTTATTACGGCTATTAATTAATTTAATTTACACAAGGTGTTGCGCTGATGCGAGTTTATGCAAATATTCGAATTAAACAAATGGAAACAAATTGAACACTTACTTATTTAACCATACGCCAGCACTCACATGCACTTATGTACAAGTATGTGTGTATATACATATACATATGTATACTAACATACATACATATATGTTACATATAGTTATTTACAGAAAAAAATGTAGTAATTATAATTTAGTTCAACCTCAGCTAGTATTTACATGTAATCTATTAATTTTCATTTCTAGTTACCACAAATATTTACACAAATGCACACAGCTCGCAGGCCAAGTCAAAAGAAAAATGTCAAAAAAAGGGAGAGAAAAAATGCGCAAAGGGTAGAACAGCAAAG